TATATATATTGATAAAAGATTATTATCTATTTGAATCTTGTAAAGTAAACTAATGTCATTTAAATCATTATAATTACTTTAGTGGTTGATGGAAAGGGGTTACAATAATAGAAATATGAAGATTAAGGTTTGATTACTATTGTGATCATCTTTGTAATCTTTATTATTTTTATACAAAAAGTAATTTATAATTATTTCATTTTAAACTTTAATAAAAAAATTAGTCCAAAAATGTCATTTTTCCATATTAATTTGAATAGATTTAACATCTTTTGTTAAGAAATATAAATTTTCTTAACATACATCCCCAAGGACCCCAACTAAGTTATTTTTTTTGAAAACGAGATTCATATTGTGAAATGAGTTTCTTTATTGAAAGTTTATTTAATATATTTATTTATTATTCAACCTTTTCCATAATAATTTCAGTAATTAGTTTTCAATTAATTTCATGTATGCTATTTTAAGTAATTTTACGTTTCCAATACATTAGAAATGCTGTTTAGCATGACTATTAAGGTGATTGTTATATAAAAAATCGTGCTAGGATGACATTTTAAGTAATTAAAAAAAAAAACAAACTTATCGATGCACAATACTCTGTTTGAATGATAGTATAATTAAATTGTTTTTTTACAATATCAGTGTATTTAAAAAAAATCTTAAAATTAATCATGATAAGAAAGATCACTAACTTACCATCACTTTTCACAAGAATTTTTATATTCCCATTTATACATAAATTAATATTTGAAAGAATTTCTTAGGATAAAAAAAAAAAATTTATTCTCTTTATTTACACATCATAATTAAATAATTATATGTCACATTCTTAAAACATTAAATCATTTATTGAAAACGGCACTGTTATGTGCATTAAATTAAATTGACCATAGCTTCTTGAAAAACATACATTATTTATTTATCATCATTATTTTATTTAATAATTTATAATTTATATTAAATTTTAAATATTTAATCATTAAATTAATTTTTTTAATGTAGAGATCAAGTTCGCAAATTTTTAAAAAATTTAAAAACTATTTGATAATCTATTTCATTAATTTAAAATGATGGATAAATATAAAAATATTTTATACATTAATTCGAATGAATAAAATAGAGTATCAAATTATTTTCTATTTTTTTTTTAAATTTGCATACTTGATTTATACACTAAGAAATTTTAATTCAATGATTGAATCATCGAAATTTGATATAAAACATGCGTTGTTAAATAAAGTAAGTGTAAGTATATTTATTCTTAGAGTAAGTGAATCTCTCTCTCTTCCTATATATATATATATTATATATATATATATATAATAAAATCAAACATTATTCTTATATGTGATTTGATCCAAAATTTTAATTACCACATTGATATGTTGTCCAATTGAAGAATACATTTTTTTTGTATGCAAGAAAATGTAAATTTTATTGTAAAGAATTGGAAGAACAAAAAAAAATAATGACACTTTTATTTTTGATTGGAAAAGTGTCACAATTGTAGTTGTATGTCTATATAACATACATGTAATTTAAGCATATATGGATTTCGGTTGGTTCAACTTCTTTAGAAAAAATAATCGAGTCAACAAGTCACTTGCACAGCTAGTCTAGTCAGGTCATTGGCAATACCTGTTACACCAAATGCTTCTTTTGTCACTGCAAATCCACAACTAGGTTTTCCTATGCATGCTGTTTCCACCACAGACCGACTATTAGTAGCTTCCCAAGAGCCCAGCTTAAAAGAGCCACACTTTCCTTGTGGGTTTCCAAAGCTAGCAAATTGGATTTGTGAGATTACTTGTCCACCTTGGCATGATAACTCTAACAACGCACCCTCATAGACATGAGCACAAATTGTTCCTGTTGTGACTGTTTGGAAAGAAACATTTTGAGGGTTTCCACCTATCTCTTCAAACAAAACCAACGTGTTCTTATCATTGTTTAAGAACGACCTTGGCACATGGTACCACCTTTGTGATGGATTGCCACAGTTGGTGTTGCAATTTTCTGCTGTGTATTTTCCGTGGTAGTCACAAGTGTCATTGCATCCATTTGTAGCTGTAATCCAAGAAGGCCAATAACGACCAATGCTATGCCCATTCACCCAAGCATGTCCTTTACCCAACCCTTGCAAGTCCACCACCACAGGATTTTTTCCATAAGGAGCTTCAAAGTCAGCTTTATACCAAGTCATTGGTCTACTAATAGGATATGATGAATTAGCGTGCCATGATACACCAATGTGTGGTTGTAGATCATAAAGACGTTTTCTTTCACCATTCAAACCAATCTTGTAGGACCAAAGATTGGTTGACAAATCCATAGTCACATTGTTCTTCCCAATTAATTGAACAAGACCACCTGCTATACCAGTCTTTATCTTATCGAACCTTGCACCGTAATTTGCAAGCCCAACTGTGGCACTAAGTAAAGCTATGGTGTTTGTTCCATTCTTTAAAGGGACTTGATTCTCGTACGTGAAGTTACTTCTTTCCTGGCTAAATTTGTATCCAACATACCTCCTATTAACATAAGCATGGAGCGTGTGACCCATGGTGTCCACACGAAGAGTTGCATTGCTCCAAATGGAGGTGTCATTGATATCGACGTTGGTCATGTACCACAAGTAGTCACTAACATCCAAAGTTAGTTCTTTTTGCTCAAGAAGCTGGTTTGCGTTGAAATCGCCATTTCCATGTAAGGTATCTTTCTTTCGCTCCAATGTCCACACCCAAGTTAGCTTAGTAGTAGCATCATCACTCTTTTTCACCATTATTGAGGTTTGGCTATTAACCTTTGCGGTATTGAAGACTTCTTTGTTGCAACCGGCAAGAATTGTCACGGACCAAGCAGGGATAAAGTATTTACCATCTTGTTGTAAGTCAACATTTGCATTTGTGTTATTATTTGTATTAGAAAGGAAACAAAACCTTGACCCACCAACACTTGTGTATGTTGTTAGTGTGACTGCATTGCCTAAATCCTTGTCACTCCTTGTTGAATTAGTGAGGATCTTTTCCCCCAATTTTATTGCTGCATGAAGTTGCTTAAGATGCCCCCATTTGGGTTGATTCAAATTCCCATACTCATCAAGTGGGGCATCATAGTTATAAGATGTTGTGATATATGGGCCTCCTGCTGTTCGACCAAAGTTGGTTCCTCCATGGTACATGTAGTAGTTATTGAGTACACCACCATTTTGGAAGAAGTGTGCAACAGAGAAAGC